ATGCGTCTGAGGGAGGAGGGGCTGGGGGGTCAGGATCCCTGCCTCCCGGGGAGGAGGGGCTGCGTCTTCTGGGTCTGAGGGAGGAGGGGCCAGGGGCTGGGGCTTCTGGGTTTATCCTCCTTCTCCCCCACAGAGCAGAGGAAGCGTTATTCCACTGTGGTTCTGGCAGACGTTTCCCAGTATCCAGTCAATGTGAGTCTGGGGTCTGCATTGCCCCGGGGAGCCTTAGGGGAGGAAAGGCAGGCGGGCCTGGGAAGATGGCGGTGTCGAAGGCGGCCGGGCCTCCAAACGGCAAGAAGCTGCAAGCTCATTTGGCCCACCTGCCAGGCGGGGCTGCTTCTGCCCGCCTGCCCTCAGCGGTGGGAATCCGGCAGAGGCAGTCCGTTCCACTGGAATCTGCCAAGGTCCTCCTCCAGACCGGCTGTTAGGCCGGACAGGCAGGCCCCAGGGACAAATGCTACGTCAACCTGTGTGCGCAGGGGCCAAAGTGTGCCAGGTGCTCTTGGAGGCAGGGGTGCTTAGAAGGGACTAGATCCAATCCCTGCCTTCAAGAAGTCTCCAGTCTCGCTGGCAAGACACACGCAGGCGCCAGTCGCGCTGATGAAAACAAAACAAAGGGCCCCATAGGTGGAGCCGGTGACGGGACGCTTTCTGGAGGAGGTGTGGTTACTGTCAGGCTGGAAGGCGGGGGCAGGGGATTCCGAGCCCACCTGGCGCCCTCCTGGGGCCCTCCTGGGACTCCCTGCTTTCTCCGCACCCCTGCCAGCACCTGGTGACGTTCTGCCTGGGCGAGGAGGATGGCGTGCACACCGTGGAGGATGCCTCGCGGAGGCTGGCGGTCATGGACAACCAGGGCCGCGTCTGGGCCCAAGAGATGCTGCTGCGCGTGTCTCCGGACCGTGTCACGCTGCTTGACCCCATGTCCAAGGTGTCAGGGGACACGTGGGTGGAAGGGGCAGAGGCATGGAGAGCTTGACTCTAGGGACGTCCGAGTGTGACTCTTGGCCCCCACGCGTCCTTCCTCTGGGAACTTTGGCAAGAGCTCTCTGCCCTTCGTTTTTGGAGCGTCACTGCAGCCCCGCAGGGTCGCCTGGGCCGTGCTGGGGTCCCAGCTGGCACTGCTGTCATTTGGGATCCTCGGATCCGAGCCTCCGTTTACCCACCGTCCCGCCCAGCAGGAGGAGCTGGAGTCGTACCCGCTGGGTGCCATCGTGCGCTGCGACGTGGTGACGCTGCCTGGCCGGAGTCGCTCGCTGCTGCTGCTGGTGTGCCAGGAGCCGGATCGCACGCAGCCCGACGTGCACTTCTTCCAGGGCTTGCGTCTCGGGGTGAGCGGGCCCGGGGAGCCACCTCACGCAGGGCTGGGACCCTGCGGATGCCAGGGGGCGGAGCCGGAAGTGGGAGGAATCCAGAGCTTGGGCAGTGATGGGGCGGGGCCTCCGCGCGGGGCGGGCCTGGGCCAGTGGAGGGGGCGTGGCCTGGAGAGAGGAGCTGGAACGGATGGGGGGTTTGAGGGCAGGTGGGACCGGGACGAAGTAGAATGGAGACTGAAACGGCCGGGACGGAACCTGACAGCACCTGGGGGAGGGTGGATGGGAGCAGCCAGAACTCGGGGCGAGTATGGCCTAGGGGCAGGAAACCCCAGCACCCCGGCTCCGGGATTGGGAACGCGGCTTAGGGCAGGGGAAGAAGTAGCAGAGCGCGGGCGGGCGTGGGCGCCACGTGTGGGCGCCGACGTGGAGGGACTCCGGCACCCAGCCAAGGAATCGACTGAACCGGACCGCCTGCTGGGACGAGGGGTAGGTGGGGTGGAGGCCCGGCCTGACAGCATGATTGGCAGGCGGAGCTGATCCGAGAGGACATCCAGGGGGCTCTACACGACTACCGGTCCGGCCGCGGGGAGCGCAGGCCCGCGGCGCTCAGGTAAGAAAGAGGGCTGGGCGGGGAGCGAGGGGAGAAGCGAGGACGGGTGGGGTCTCAGTCTCGGCATCCGACAAACGGGCTGCCACCGCTCGCCCACAAGAGAACGAGTTTGGAAGCCTGTCGAACAGAGCGTGGTTCGGGTCTTGCCAACCCCCCGCAGACACGTGTACCCCCTCTCCAAGAGTCCTTTTCCTAGTGCTGGTCCTCCGTTTCTCCTCCCTCAGGCCTCAGTTGCCCTCCGCACAGGTGCTCGCCCCTCCCCTTGTCTCCAATTTCTCCGCGCCACCTGCAGCCTAGGTTTGACTCGGTTCTGAGCCCCGCTGTCTCCCCCGCCCTGGCCCCGGGTGGACCCAGGCTCTTTCCCCTCGTCCCTCCGCAGGGCTACGCAGGAGGAGCTGCAGCGCCGCCCCTCGCCGGCCGCCGAGACCCCTCCCCCGCAGCGCCGCCCGTCAATCCGCGCGGTCATCAGCACGGTGGAGGCGGGCCGGGGGCGACCCCAGGCGGAGCCCATCCCGGAGGCGGAAGAGTCGCTGAGGCCGCGGCCTGGCCTGGCGGGGACCTCAGGCAGCGCTGCCCCGGCCTCCCCTGACCTGGGGCCCCGCGGCCCGGACCTGGCCAGTCTGCAGGCGGAGCGGGAAGTGGTGCGTGGGGCGGGGCTAGGGCGTGGGGGCGGACCGGCTGTGGGTGTGTCCCGCCTCCCGGGAGGGGATTGGTGTCAGACTTCTGGGGGTGTGGCCGGCGGTGACCGATCTAGGGGGACAGGCACAGGCGTCCGAGGGCTCGGCCTGGCCTGGGAGGATGTCGGGGTGCTCGGCCTAAGTAAGGGCTTTGCCTGGGGTGATGAGGGGCCTGGACTCCGCATCCCCGAGTCCCACGCGTCCCCTGTTCTGTCCCCCAGGACATCCTGAACCACGTGTTCGACGACGTGGAGAGTTTCGTTTCGAAGCTGCAGAAGTCTGCGGAGGCGGCCCGGGTGCTGGAGCAGAGGGAGCGCGGCCGCAGGACCCGGCGCCGGGCGCCTGGGGGTGAGGGCGCCCCCCGCCCCC